GAAACTTGTTTACTGAGGAGAAAAAGGGGGAAATGTGGGATTTGGCCAGAGCCACTGTAGTCCCAGCTACGTCGATTCTCCAGAATGTGCTTTGCACAGTATTGCTAGGTGGTGGCCAGAGAGAGAAAAGGAGGCAATGATTAAGAGAAAGAGACTTTGTAGGCAAACAAACAGCAAAAAGAAAGTCCACTCGGTTTCCTTCCTGCAGGACTCCTCTGAGACTTTCATAGGCTGCAAGAGCGATTTACGCACATTTCCCTACCTCCTAGAACCCTTGGCTTGTGAGGCACCCTGCTGGGATCTGGGTACACAGAATACCCTCTACATCACCCCATGCTGCCTTTTCCCTAGGTTAGAACCCCGCAGAACACTTCTTCAAATTCAAAACTCGAAGTTTCATGCAAATTAAAGTGACTTTTAAAAGTCATGGGTTTCAGACCAATTTTGAGGGCTACTTTAAAAAGGGAAGGAGGGAAAAATACACTGCAGAATACAGTCCCTTTCAAGTTCTGTAGAATGTCTCAGGAAGTTGCTTTATTTCTGCCACCACTTGATTTAGGAAATGCAGCTTGTGATCTCTAAACAATGGGACCCCTGACCGTATGTGCAAGCTTTATGGTTAAATGACTGTAACACAGGATGAAATACTGTTATCCACTGAGGAAGAAAAATTTGTTTCCTACAAAGCCCATTTAATACATAGGACATTTCAAATGTGCTCATTCTGTACAAACTGAAACTAACATGGTCACGAGTTGATTTCTGTTATTTTTTTTGTTTTGTTTTTGGGTCATTGTCAAGTTCAACTTGACAGACCATCCTCAGATTAATTGACTACATATACACATGTACAAAACCTGCAAAAACTTTGGCTTGCACGCAAGCTGGCCCACCAGCGTCTCACCAGACCAGCTGCACAAATCTGACACTTCTAACTGCATTTGGCTTAGTGATCTCTGGCACACTTTATATTGAGATAATTTAGTAGCCTGTTAAAATGCCCACCAATTTTACTTTTTAAAGGTATTTGGGTCTATACGAAGGGCTGTTAAGATGTTGAAAAAGCCCCACCTCTGATGTGTGACACACAGGATCAATCCCAAGGAATCTCTTCTTTGAAAGTTGTAAAACCCTGAATTGTGAGGGTCACCAGGTACCAGGCCAGGTACTCTAAAATAGTGCCTGCTGGAGACTCCTTCATTTGGAATGGGTTTTGATTAACATTCAAAAGATCATTTCATACTTTTTATCGGTATATTCACTTTTTCTAAACCACAGTCTAAAAACAAAAATGTGATGAATTATTGTCAATAAGTTCATAAACCCTATTTAATCCTGTCATGGAAAACTAATGGCATATTGGCAATGTGCATGGCCTAACGGTAAAACTTGCTAGATATATTTTTAAACAATTTACATATAGGCCCTGATGTGTCTAAACACCCAGAACCATTAGGAGGAATCGGTTTCCAGGACCTCTTTAGACCAAGCCAGGCACTCCATCCTCTTGGTTGCTTTTTTCTTGATATTCCCATTTCAGATGAAAACATTTAATCCAGGTCCTAACCTTCAACTATCCCATGAGGATGTGAATTACAGATTCTTGCACATCTGAAGTACTTTCTTGTGGCTTTTTTGCTTTGTTTTGTTTATCCTACACAACTTCCTTCCTTCCTCCCTACGCTTTGCTCCCCAGGGCTTTTAGAGATAGGCTAACCACTAATCATGTCCTCCTGCACAGGAGACCCAGATCCAGGCTCCTCCCCCTGCTCCTGGCAAAGGAGAATGTAAGCAATTAAGGCCATCTTAAACAACAGAGCTATTCACAACGTGGAAGTCTGGGAAACATCCCTGAATTCAGATAGCAAACTTAGCTGCTACTTAAGTGACACACAGCTGCTCTGCATGGGAACAGAGTTACGGTTTCCGGGAAGGCAACGGCCCCTCGCAGACTTTAGCCCCTGCAGATGGCCTTTGGGCTGTCCCTACGGCCCCGTGGTCACTGAGAGCTTGCTCACACGCCCGTCACTCTCAGAGCATTCCGCACATGGCAAGTTCTTAGCAGTCTTAAGCGACTCAAATGTTTCCCCTTCCCAAGTGTTCTGTTCAAGGGCCATTTGGATTCCAGGAACCACAGCTAACCTTAATAACTGACATTCTTTCCGTTTTTTGCCTTCCTGCTGTGAGTGGAGATTTTGAAAACTCCGTTGACTAATTTGTCAAGTTCTGATCTAAATTCAAGCCTTGGAACCAGAATGAACACCTGCTAGGCAAAACTAAGCCTACCAAAAGAAAAAAAACTGAACTGGATAAATCTTAAAAGTGTGACAAGCTGTTCTGGCTTTAAATGCCTGTGCCCAGCAGACCGTTCACTTGTTCACTCCCAGAGCTACCACTTAATTCTCTTCGCGGGAGTGGTTTCTGTAAACAGAAGAGCAGGCTCTTATAGGGCACTTCATATCAAAGCACTTCTCTCATGGCACTTGGGATGTCAACCACTCCAGCAGGAGCCACTCTACTCATCTGCCTGAGTTAAATTAAGGCACACAGAAGGCAAGTGCTTTCTCTGGGCCCCCGAATGAGCGGTGGGGTCGGGCAGGGTCCTAAGCTGATCAAGGCTTTGTGAGGCAGGGACATGGATACCTCCACGCAGAACCGTCGTAGGGTGTTGAAGCAAACGTTGTGTAGCCAGAGAGATGCATGAGGTCAACTCCACCTCTGCCGCTTCCTAGCCGAGTCGTTGTTCTGCTTCCTTTACCTGTGCAGACTCTTTTCTCATCTGTGAAGTGGAGATAAAAACTCCTACTTGAATTACACGGTTACACTGGTAAAGTTCTTGAGGCACAGCTCCGTGTGTACTTCGTGGGTGCTCAGTGTAAACAGAGACCATTACACCTCTGTCGCGTAGTCCTTGTTGCTATCGCTTCCTTTGTGACTCCTGTAATTAATGCAGGGCCTGATGACCTCTGTTAGCACAACCCACAGAAAGTCAAGGACTTTAAAAGTTCAATAAACACTTTAGTTTAAGATGCATTCTTGTTCTCCGAAAGGCAGTAAACCAAGGGAAGAAAATGCATTCCTTTTCCAAAAGGGATTTGAAACCAAGGCTCTTTGAAACAGAAGAGACTGGCAACACTTTGCGAGTCAAGTTAAGGCCCCATAGTAAATCAAAGTGATTTGCTCAAGGTACACGGTAGGAACCTTCAGGGGAAACTGGGAGCCCTAGAGTCCCAGGTGCCTAAATTCTGGGCAAGAAGACCTTTGTCTTCATTCTCCAAAACTCCAAATTAAGGGAAACCTTTGGGAATACATGCCCAGATTTTGATCATTTACGCTATAGCTTAATTCTGTACAAAATTCCCCTGCTTCTGATTCATGTTTTTCCAAGTATTGAGGAATCCTTCTAGGAGCGTCACCTCAGTTTCCTGGAGTAGGACCTGGTATCTGCATTGTAACTAGAAGAGATTCTCAGGCACCCCCAAGTCTGAGAGCCCACTGGCCTGAATACCACGGGGGACCGCCAGAGCAGGACGGGGTGATGGTGGGGGAGGCAACACCTTGGGGCCTCGGAATTCCCTCCAGGTCTAAGTGAAAACTGTTCACACCAACGTTGTTACAAACCCAAGCTATCTGGGGTAAACAGTTTCCTTCTTTCTTCTCTATAAATAAGTGTGGGAGTTCTTGGCAAGCTCTGCTCCTTACAGGGTGGGCAGCTGTGAACCAAGCGAGAGGTTTATCTCTTCTCCTAACCTTGTCCTGCCTTTTGCAGATGCAATTCCTTCCCTGTCTGCCTCACAGCTAATTATTTTAGCAGACAAGCTCTGAGCCTGGAGAAAACAGGACACATTCTTGGAAGTAGTAACTGTACTGAAATTTAGTGGGAAAAGTCCCTCCTTTGGTTCCAGCTTCTGAACATCAGCAAGTGGAGTGAGCTACCATTTGGTTCAGTGTGTCAGTGGGAAAATCTTGTCTTCCAAGAGTTTAAGGTGCTTTTAGTACTTAATTTCATAGTGCCATTTCAGGGAACTTTGAACAACCAAGGTTTTTGTGATCTGGGCCATATTCAAAGTTGTCCAGTCTCAATAATTCAACAGCCGTAGTGGGGGTGGAAGCACCGTAAATCCAAACTCTTTAGACTCTTAAAACATGGGAATTTCATTACATAAATAAATATCTCCCCTCATATATTTGTTTGAAAGATGAATAAATGCAACAAAACAAAGAAAAACCTTCATTTTGAATCCGTAAGGAAACCTTTCTTACTGTTTTTAAAGGAGCTGAGGGAGGATTTTTGTTGGCTTACACGACAAATCTTAGCTTCTTTTGAATGGCATGAACAGAAAAAACATGAAAGGCATAAAAGAATGTTATATATGTGAAATGGAAAAGAGAAAGATAATGTTCAAACGACACTTCTGATATTGGTAGAATTAAACAAAACTAAACATGAAGTTATCACACCATTTTAAAAGAACAGTAGCTGAAAGTCAAGACAGTTTTCCTCAAACTACGTCCACCTGGGTGTTTGAGAAAAGGCAAATAGCAAACACCGAAACCCCAAAAATCCACATTATGAACAACATTGTTTTAGGGCATCATAGGATTTTTCAGTTTTTATGCCTTAAAAATTTTACTTAATAGCTGTCATTAAAATGACTTTTGGTCATTATGAAGAATTAAACACTCTGCTTTTGGACAAATTTCATATCAACATTCAGAACACATGCAGCTTCTAAACATCTGATATGCATTTCCAGCTAACTACTGTCAGAGGTGGTGCTTAAATGTCTGGAGGGCATTTGCTGTGTGCTCTAGAGTGAAACGGAAAATTTGAGCAAAGCTTTCATGGTGCAAACACAGGAATGAGATGTGCAGGCAAACAAATAGCAAGAAAATACACCTAGCATCAGCTATACACTCTCCACCTAGCGAGAACCCTACAGCTTACTTGTATGGACTGCAGAAGAACTGGGTTCAGAAGAAAGAAGGTTCCTACTCACCCAGGGGGCTCATCCAACTCCTTCAAGAGTGATCCTGCACTGCAAACTAACCACCTCCTTACCTGCAGCTGGTCATTTAATTTTTTAGTCATGTGCTCACCTGTAACTGATTACCTAATTTTAGTATTTAATAGCATGCACCACCACCCCTTCAAATCTCTGGCTAAAATCATCCTTGCCAAAAAAGGCAAATGCAGGGGGTAAGCATTTATTTCTCTCTAGCAGCTATCAAACAAAATAACAAAATTCCACAAACCTCTGAATTTTTGGAACAGGGTTTATACTTTAACAGAATCAAAACTTGAAAGAACTGTGTATAGGTGGTCTCCACGTTGCATCCAGAAGTTCGTTTCTATGTCCGTTGCATGGGAACTTGAAACACAGATATTTCCTCTCCAGAAGTAAAGCTACATCTGGTAGGTGGGTTGCTTGGCCAGACTACAAATCATTTTAATCCATTAAGCAGCTGAACTATAGCACTAGCTGTACTAGCTCAAGTTTGGGAGCTGGGAACCCTGCATGTCAGAAATGAGGGGAAAACATCTCCAAAAACAATTTTGAAATAAGCAGTTTGCTCTGGTTGTTTCACCATTTCCAACACCCACTCCCATCTACACGGGCCCCTAGAAAGTGAGCTTGCTTAATAATTTCTTTACATTTCCTCAGGCGTCTGTCTGTTTCCCTGATGCACTCCTTGGGCCAAACTTACAGACCTTCCTTCCTAAATCACAAAGAGCAGCTAATCCACACTCAGTGTCAGTCTGAGTCAAGGCTTCCTTTTACTTCACACAAACGTGTAAATGAGTGATGGTGCTTTAAAGTTCCCAGGATAATTTGCATTTTGAATAGAGAATAGTAACACCCACCTCCACTAAGGACTTGTTTTGGGGAGGTGGGATGGAGTCAGCATACTGGCCGACCAACCCCGCTCAGGGCTGGTTTCCAGGGCTTGTTTCCATTTCACTTCTGTTTGCTAAAAGCTTGGAGAGCTAAGGAGCGGCAGGGGCTTGCAGGTGTCGGTCGGGGGAGTGGCTGCGACTTAGGAGCCTGTCCGTCCTGTTAATTTCCTACAGCAGGGGAGCCAGAGCTCGGCAGAGGCAGGACCGCTTGCGCAGCTAGATAACAGGCCAAACCCTCCCACCCCAGAGAGGCAGATTTGACAGGCCCCGAGTGGGGCTTAGAAACTGCCCCCTTTTTTACAATTAAAGTATCGTTGATATACAATCTTTTGTTGGTTTCAAATATACAACACTGTGGTTCAACAGTTCCCCGTATTAATAAATACCCCCTCTAGTGCGGTCACTACCTATCAGCATAGTCAAGATGTTAACAGAATCACTGTCTTCTTTGTGCTGTGCTGACTGACTTATATTGTGATTTTGAGTTGTTGTGCCGCTTTGTCCCCCTCCCCCTCGGTAACCATTAGTCTCTTCCCGGTGTCTGGGATTGTTTGCTTTGTTTTTATATTCCATAAGTGAAATCATATAGAAACCTGTACTTTTAAACACTCCATATGAATCACAGCTTCCGTGATTCTGACTTCATAGTGAGAAAGACAATGAGGGGCAAATAATTGAAGTATACTCTACCTACATCATTTCCTATGGGATACTTAACATATTAAATCCCACCAAACCACCAGTAAAACAAGCAGAATGGCCACCTTAATTGACCATCAAGTTCCTTCGAATTGTACCTCATCATACTAAAGCTTTCAAATGCAGATCTAAGAAATATACACACATTTGGAGATACACTGAAGGTTTCAAATCAAGGGGTCATATGTATATATTGTCAACTAATTTTCAACATTTTAACCTTGGTTAAGGCCCAAATTTCCCATTCTTCAAACACTAAATTGGCATGAAATATGAACATATAAAAGCAGTTAATAGATACAATTCTCATTAAGATATCCTCAGATTTGGTTTCCTAAAGATAGGCCTTGCAATTTTCTTGTGCGTATTTTATGTCTAAAAAGACCCCTTATCCCCTGCACATCAAGGTACTCATTTAACAGAAAGATCAAATTAATACTGTGGTCTTACCCTCAGAATTTCCTTTACTAATTGCTTAAGATGTCAACCTTTGATATTGACATCTTTGTATTCATATATTTACAATTACTTTTTTTTTTTGCAAAGAATTCTTATTTTTGAGAGTTGGGGACCTTTTTTTCAAACTCCTATTCAAGGAAGAGCAAAGCAGCTCCAAAGGTTTTTTTTTTTTTTTTACTAACATTAAAAAAAACATTCATTAGGCAAAAACTCAACTTGATGTTAATGGCAAGACACTGTTCTCAAGACACTGGGCTCGAAAACCATACCGCACTATTCTTGTGACTGGTTTCTGCACTTCCCAAACCCAAACCATTCAATTGGTGCTCACATAGTTGGAATCTAATTTTCCATTTCAAGGGAAATTATTTGCCGAGTTCTTTCCAGTCTTTCCTTTTTCCTCTGCTGGGCAGGAGGAACCGAGTGTAGACACCAAGAGACAGGACAGGACAGGAACTGTTCTGCCAAAGGAAGAGAGCAATCATTTGGATCACCCCTACTCAGTTAGGCATTTCACATCTACACACATAATGCAAACTAAAAGCCTTTTTTTCACTGCCAGAATGCAGATTATCTTAACAAAATAATAGCTTCTTTCTACCTAACTTCAGATGTTAAACAATGCAGAGCAAGATGCTTTAGGATACATTTAAAATCTTAAGTTTAATGTGAAAAAAAATCACTGGAATTTATGTAACACCTACCTTTTTTACATCCCCCCTAACCCAGGTTAATTTCTATTACATGGCTAAGGTTACATGCAATGTAGTGGTTCAAGTCAGCAGTTTGGCCTTCCGACACACTCACACCTGCAAATATGCTTTCCCAGGTCCTTACCCCCACCTCCCCCACTGACCTCCGACATAACATTTTCAATCTTTTAAGAGGTTAAGAAATTTGTGCTACAGGAAAAGGGTAGTTGGCCAATTAGTCCAAGATTAAATAGCATGTTAAGTATTGAGCTACAATCAGTATTTGAGTTGCTAGCTCCCTTTAGTCTTTGACAGTTCTAATATTAGCACAGTTAATGAACCCACTCAATTGTACAGTGGTCAAAGTCTGTGTACCAATAACAAAAATATGATGTACATGGAGATGCCCATTCCATCAGCAGGGACATTTTGTGCGGTGCCCAGTTTTCTTCCTCTGTAACACACAGCTGTCACACAATTCTTCTGGCAACTAAGAGACTGGACACCAGAGGCAAACCTCCAGAAGCCCTGGGGAACTTGACCATGAAGGGAGCAATGAGGTTCAAGCCAAAAGTTCATGAAAACAGAAAAACAAAAATACTCTCATCTACTCCCCAGCCCCCACCCTCAAAGGCTACTATAAAAAGCAAGAAAGGGTCAGTGTAATAAAAAAAATGTCTGCAGATGAACTAAAATGTCCTTGAAAAGAGGCACATTATCTACAGGTCTATCAGGCATCCCTAATACTACAAAAGCCACCTTAAATCTCAAACAGTCCACTAGAGGGAAAAATCTCTCATACAGCTGTAGCTCTAACTTGCGATTTGTAGGGTTTTTTCAATGTATTTACCTCATGTATTTAAAAACATACCAGAAATAAAGAGATTTTTTTGCCAAATAATAGGACAACATTGAAATGAACTTGGCATTAGCAAGAATGAAAATATGAATAAAAGAAAATGAAACAAAAAAACAATTAGGAAAAATAAAGACAAAATTCAAATTTACTTTGAAAAATCTGATTTTATTTTCTGAATCAAAAAATGTATTCACGTTAAATTTAGAAGTTTTGACTTTCCATTGATCTCTCAAAATATTTTCCCAATAGTGTTACCAGTGCTCAGAACTGTGTTAAGGTTAACATCCAATACCACATTTTAAAGAAAGAATTTTAATGTAGGACCTAGATCTAAAAGACCCTTCTCAAAGGTCAAGGCATTGGTAATTTTAATTTAAAAAGAAAAGGATTTTAATCATTATTGGAAATTTAAATGACAATGGCTTTCAGGAGCTATAAATCAAATCTCTTTTAAGACAGAACAAATTTTCATTTCTGACAGACTCATACCTGACAACTCCAATTAGACATAATATTCCCATGCCCCTAAAATTACTAAATACACTATTTCAACTTGGAAAAAGGAAATTATAAAATGGAATTTTAAAATTATACTCTCTCTATATATAAACACAACATTTTAACTGTTGTTTGCTAGCAGAATTATGAAATTAAAACCAAATTCAACCTTCCAAGGGACAATCATAAATGCACTTTCATTGTTTTATTTAAGAAACCATCCATACTTTGTTGCTTTCTATCCCGTATTTTAAAATCATGACCAAAGGCCAAGAGTCAATCCATTTACCTGAAATAAATAGCTAAGTAGGTACTGGTCCTACCTTTGTGTCCTTTAACAAGTCCCATACTCAAAAGGCTGGGGGAATTTATAAGAACATGATTTAGGAACACTTTAGATTTTCAAAGTGATTCTGACATCCATGTCAATAGACGTTATTCAGAGGCCATTCATGTGCACTGAAGCATGTCCAGCATGCAGGCAAACTTCTTTCATTTGTTCAAATTGAGGTAAAACAGACAAAAAACACTTAATATTAACAGAAGCTGCACAGTTGAAACTCACCTTTTACTCCTTATTTCATATAAACTGACTTTCAAATTTTCTCACAAAATGGAGACTCTAAAGCCAACCATCTCTCCAATTTCAGTCACCCCACAATCTTCTTTCAAAGCCATTATTAGTAAAGAATGTTTCAAAATGAAGGAAAACTTTTCCCCCCAGAATCTACATTTGTTATTAGTAGGATATAATTTCTTATTACTTTACTTTTCAAATTTAGAAAGAATTCAAGCCTGAGTGCTATTCGGTATTTTTCAGATACCAAGAAATAACAAGAGGATTCATAAATACGATTTTCGGACACAGGCAAGTCTGCTAACATTTACAAAATACCAAAAACACTTCTCTCAAGAATAAGATGGCTGAGATTTAGTAGTTATTAGTTAGTTCTTCAGAACAAATAAAATTTAAATCTTGACTGTTTTTCTGCCAACATTTTAAATAGTCAAATTTTACTCCACTTCCAGGCTTCAAATCAAAACAAAAACACTAATGAAAATTACCCAACTGGCAACAAGTCCCATAGTCCAATGTTATTTTTAGCCCAACAATTATAACCCACTGCCAGTAATTATTTATATTTATCTACTTGTTTATATTAAGTAAGCACTGGTCAGTTATATAAAATAATAATTTGCAAGAATGGTACTTGGCACTGGGTTACCTTAATGTTTCTGGTATAAACAAAAGCACTTAGAAAACACCAGCTCCTAAGCACTTTTTTATCTGTAATTTGCATTTCCAAAAGCATTTTTTAAATGTTAACTTTTCAGCTGACAGATTCTAGGGAGTCTAATCCCAGCTAACATGGTTGATTTTTAAGAACAAATGAATCCCTAAGACACATGGTAATGGGTACTATACTTGCTTTCATATCATATGGGAACAGTTTCAGACAGACAAAAAGTAGAAGAAAACTTGCCAAATCAAAGTTCTGTAAATAAAGTTCACCTTACGTACCCCAGAGCAGAAAAGCTCAAAAATAAAAAAATCAAAAGACCACCCCTCCTCCCGACACAAAACTCCACCTAAAACACTTAGTTCTGAGCCTAACCTTTTCCTAAAACGTTAATCCCAGAAGCTTTAAGGTACTTAAAGCTGTGCAGTAACTATAGAAAGCACCATGCTACAGAGGAAATGCCATGTAGGGTTTAACCGCTACCCACCCACCCCTTACCACCCCCAACTCTAGTAATATGTAAAAGCTCCTATTAAAGTTTTTCTTATGCTAATAGAGGCATACCACCTAGGGTACTAAAAACTAAAACTAGCAGCATTAGAGCAGTAAAGTGAAAATAGGAAGCCTACAGGAACGAGCTGAAGACCTACTTAGAAGAAACAAAGCAGCAGACATGACCCTTTGCCCTCTCATTGTGTTTGTAGGGAAGTGCTGAATTAAACGGTCAGATTTACCCACATTAACAAAAATTTAACAAAGTTTCCCCAAGACACCAGAATAAAACCTGACCTTTCCAGTCAAAGAGCACAGAGAGGCCTTTTCCATGTTGGGGAGTTGAATGAGTTCAAAGATGGGCAATAAAGGAAAAAAAGAAAGCATTAGGGGTGTAATGGGAACAAGCTTTGGAGTTTATCGAACAGTCACACCAAGTTTCTCCAGCACACGAACACCCTTTTCTTGGTATTCCTGTCGGGTCATCCAGAAGTTGTCTTTGTCTTTCATGATATCTGCTAGAACTGCACCTCCCAGGAACACCATGTGCTTTCTGCGTGGTGGGTCTTCAATGCGGATCTTAAATTTCTAAAGGGGAAAGAGGACACGATAAATGTCACACATGCATAGTGCTTTCTGCTTTATGAAAATGACTTTCTCTTGCTGAATTCTCACAAAAATCCTGTTATGTAAATAGGACAGCAGGACTTGGTACTGGGGATAGAGATATTTGTAGTTTACCCAAAGCTCATAAGCTACATCACATCCATCCCAGTATGCTTCGAACAGACCTGATTTATACTTGTTGCCCCATAATTATTAACAGCATCCCTTGCATTTGCCAGTGTCCTGATTTGAACAATAAATTCTACAATCACCCCACTGAGAGCCTAGAGTACCAGAGTCTAATACTGCTATGATTGTCATCTTGTACAACAGAGTAAGACTGAAGCTCTTTTCTTATAAGCAAAATCTTGTTTCTACTGTTTCAACTTAAATGAAATGTTCTCAAAATAAGCAAGGCCAAATATGGTAAAAATAAATCATAGGGATGTTGGAAAAAATGAACACAGTAATGAAAATTAAAGACAAGTGGGAGAAATTTTATATTCTGTAGCTACTATTGTCTAACAAGGATACACCTCAGTCTGTATGGTCAGTCAACACCTGACAGAGAAACCTGAAAATGACAGTTTTATTTACAGAGTCACAAATCCTGCAAAAGAACTCAGAGTAACTATATCATTCTAAATTGTCTTTACATCCTACAAACAAACCATAGGGCCTGGCAATATATGACAGAAAAACACCAGTTCACTTACTAATCAATTCTGAGGCTAAACTCCTGTTTAAATTTTTCTAATTTTTTTGCTCTTAAGCAGGGTCAGCAAACTTTTTCTGTAAGAGGCCAGATAGTAAATACTTGAGGTTTTGTGGGTCTCTGGCAACTACCTAAAGCAGTCACATACAGTATGTGACAACAGGTAACACTATGTAAAAGAATGGGCTTTTGGGGAGGGATTGGGTTTCCTGGGGGTGGGTGGATGGGGAGGATAAAAGGGTACAATTCTCAATCATAATATAAGCTGGTCACAGGGACAGTAGTACAGCATGGAGAATACAGTCAGTGATTCTGTAACATTTTCCTGTGTTGACAGATCGAAGCTGTACTAGTGGGGGTGAGGATTTAATGATATTGCTAACTGTTGAACCACTGTGTTGTATATTTGAAACCAACATAAGATTGTGTATCAATGGTACTTCAACTAAAAAGAAAAAAAAAGGAAGTGATATTTAGAAACCCTAAAAAAGAAAGAAAGAATGGGCTTGGCTGAGTTCCCATAAAACTTTACTTACAAAAAGAGCTGGTGCTGACAGGGCTGCAGTTTGGCTGTTCCTGCTCTAAGGGAAACCCAGCTAGCCTCTGAAGACACTGCTGGCCCTGCAGCTTTCTCAACTGGCTATTGTATCTCTCTCTGCCACCACCTTCTTAACCCTGGAGGTCTGGTAACAGCAATTCTTGTTCCTCATTATCGCTTCTCTCTTCCTCCCCTACAACTTCAAAGCTCCTCTAAAACTCCTTCCATCAGACTATTCCATCTACCACTCCTCCTTGTGCAAATCATCTATAGATCCCAGATTATTCCTTCTCATGCCCTGGGGGTGGGTGGATGGTGTGTGTACATGCATGCTCTCTCTACCCTTTCCTGACACCATCCTTAGTGACTCTGCCCTTCTCTCCCTCTCACACTACCTTGGCAAGACACAAACTCAGGTGATTAACTCTACTTTGCAACTGCCTTCAAGCAACTGAACATGATAGGCAAGAAACCTGACATCTTATTCTGACATCTTATTTTAACGCTTCATTTACCTCAAAGGAGCCCCTCAGTGCTGCCTGGCAATCCCATTATATTTCTCTTCTCTCTTCCACTCTCCAGGACAACTACTTCACACCTCCTCCTCTATTTTATAAACCTCTACCACCTCCTCTCTTTTCTCAAAGCCTCCTAACCTGTCTTTCTACATCCTTCTCCCTCCCTCCCTCCTTCAACCATCTGTTCAGCACACCAGACTTAATAATCCCTTAGAAGCAAGTCAGATCCTATTGTTTTTCTGCTCAAAATCCTTCTAAGACTTTCTAGCTAGCTAGGAGTAAAGCCAAACTCTCTGCCACCCACCCCCTACCCTCCTTGCACATTCCCACCAACTCAGGGCTTTTGCACTTGCTCTCCCTGCTTGAAAGGTTCCAGATGGTCATGTGGCTCCCTCCTCCCTCCCTCAATCCCTCCAGGTCTCTGCTCCAAAGCATCTCATCAGAGTTCTTCCCTGATCACACCACACGAAGGAGCACACCATCCACACAACCACCACCTCTTTCTAACCTTGAATCTTACTTCATTTTTCTTCATAGTGCTTTTTACTACTGACATATTATTCACAGGCTAAAAGCAAGGATTTTGTTTTTTTGTTCACCAGTTTTGTTTGTTTTAGCACCTAGACAAGTGTTTGGCATCTAGGAGTTTAAGAAATATTTGATGAATAAATAAATATTTACCTGAGACTGGTTTTAAACTGTAAGTCAAAAAAAAATCAGATGAATGAGTGAAGTACTTAGAAAACATCTTATTCTGTTTTTGAGACTTTTTTTTATTTAATGTTTTTGAGACTTACTCAATTTAACTTCAAAAATGAGTCACATGAAAGATGTAACATTACTGTCTCTATCACATCCATTTCTCTGCAACATGTAGTCTCATCATCTAAGAGTTCATCAAAGTTGGTTAGACAAAGCTCAGAGATTAACTCAGAATTAAATGACTCTTGGTTGAGTGTGTAATATACATAGTGTACTTAAGAGTCCAGAATTTGTAGGAAAAAATCAATGCAAAATAACCATCAACTACTATATACTAGTTTAAAAATTTCTTTCTGTTCTACATATCAACATAAATCAAGAAAAGTCTGTTTCAAGCACTACGATAATCAATGGGGATAAAAAGAATTAGAGACATGTTTTACAATCTGGGAGGATAAAACATATTCAAGGAATAGCCAGAAAATAACCTATTATCAGAAATATGACATAGTCTAGGGGAAGCACTGGAGGCTGATTACATATCCACAAAAAGTTTAAAAACAAAACAATAAAACACAACCACAAGCTGGGCGTTTCTCTCTCCACAGTCGTCATCTCCCCTTATCTATGGTTTTCCTTTCTGTGGTTTAGCTACCCCTGCATCAACCACGGTCCAGAAGCAGATGATCCTCCTTCTGATGTATGGTCAAAAGGTCAATAGTAGCCTAAAGCTATGTCACAAAATCTATGTCATTCACCTCCTTTCATCTCATCACACAGGTATTTTATCATCTCACATCAAAAGAAGGATGAGTACAGTACAATAGGATGTATTCAGAGAGACCACATTCACATAACTTACTACAGCATATTGTTATAATTATCCTATTTTATTATTAGTTATTGTTAATCTCTCACTGTGCCTCATTTATAAATAAAATTTTATCACAGGTATGTCTGTACAGGAAATACATAGTACACACAGGGTTCTATCAGTTGCTGCAGGAAACCCTTGGATTTTTGTAATGTATCTCCTGCAGGTAAAGGGGAGCAACTATATAGCAGGTTCTTCTCATGCACTTATAGGCAGCTTATTTCCAGACTGTGTGTTACAGATGAACGTCTGGCCCAGGATCTGGTCATCTGTATCCTAAACACAGAGCTAACTAGGCAGTACAACGATTCTGGGACAGAGCTTACCTTGAAACATTGACTTTTTCCTAGGAAATTTGTTTAGGAGGACTTCTTGCTCCCTCTAGTGGCTGTCAAGATTCATAAATTACAGGGTTTAAAAAGCATGTGAACAAGCTGGATGACTGATACTTACAGAAAGTTTTTCCACATCTCCCTTTAAAACTCGTTCTAAGTAAAGCTGTTTAAGTTCTCGTTCCAACCGTGATGGCAACCCAGGGTACATAGTAGACCCTCCAGAAAGCACAATGTGTTTATAGAATTCAGATCTAGAAAGACACAATAGGTATTGATTTGGGGTTTCAGACTAGGAAAACAGTATCTGAGTTCTTTTACCTATGTTAGCTTCAAGGAGTCACTGGGAGAATGAAGTAAAATTCAACATGTAAATCACAGAGCTGAATGTTTCCTATTACTACTGCTATGAGATAACACACCCTCTTTACATATAGTTATCATAATTTTGATGAAGATACTTCTAAAGTACATGACATACTTTCTTGTAGAAGTAACTGAGTCTTTTATTAATGACCAGAGTCTTCACTACAAACTTCCAGTATCTGGACTGTGTTATCACAGTGCTGCCCCACAGCTACTGAGATATGGTTACTTACTAAAATTAACCACTTGCTACTATGATTCCAGTTCTTGCTTTTCGACTTTTCCATTTGCCTTTTGTTTTCCATTTTCCCTTTTGTTCCTTTGCCTTGAGGAGGACCAGTTATTTCTGATTAGATGGATATGTTTGCTTTTTAGAGCAGTCCTCTCTTTCTTTCTTAAACATGATGTTGGTTACGATACCTGATAATCAAATCTAAAATAACTGCTAAGTAGTAAAAGAAATATAATCTGACTGAGGGTCTGAGAAACTCTTCTCAAAGCTCAGGAGGTGAGTCACATCTACTTTGGCCTCATTCAACCTTGCTTCCAGGTTTTACTTATTTCCAGGTTTTCAATGGCTCAGGCTACTGTAATTCTTGCTTCCAGAAGAACAATGATTTGTATTTAAAATGTTTTTGTATTGCATTAGTATGCACATGAGCGTGGCTCAAGCCAAGCAGCTGAAGTGTGGCTGCATGTGGTACACACCCATGGGCACTTACATGTATGCTTTCAACATGCAGGACACACAAGGCAAAACCTGAATTGTGCTGCTTTCCAGTGCTCTCCGTGGACTCTAATGCTTTAGGAGTGCCAAGACTTAAATCACCACCACTATGTGCTTTTAAATATAATTTTGCTATTGATGATTACTAAATCAAGGATTAAAAGCACCTATCTAATCCTTACCATGAAAAATGTACTGTATTTATTAAGTCTAGATTAGATCTTTGATCATCTTTAATTAGATTTGTAGCTTGATTATAAGCCAATTGCTGTTTTTATTCATTTCATTATCCTGCTCCCCAGCCACCCCACAAAAGTTAGTCAAGTGATTATTTAATTCAGGGTTAAATAAGCAAGTAAGCATTTGCTTTACAATATGCTTCTGAGTGAATTCCTCAATAAGTTGGGTGTAGAGGAGGAATTTCTAACTGTGACTCAAACTCTAGATATAATAAAAGATGATAAATATTTTTATGTAACTAAATAAAAATTAACTTTTATATGACCAAAAACACCATAAGCAAGAGACAAATGGCAAATTAGGAGAAAATATCTGCAACACACATTATGGAGCTAATATAAACGTAACTTTGAAAACTGAGGGAAAAAATTACAAAAATTCTGCAGAGGAACAAGCTAGAGCCATGAGAAGTTTCACAAGATACAGAAATGGTCCTAAACATAGAAAAACATGTTCAACTTCACTCTAAAGAGAAATGCAAATTAAAACTACACTGAGGTATCATTTCTCACTCATCAGACTGGCATAAAAGTAAAAAAGTTGACAGCCAGTGAACAAGCTATGGAGACATAGGTGTCCTCCTATATTACTGGTGGGAATGAGAAGTGGTACATGCAGGACACACAAGGCAAAACCTCCAAAAGAGGGGAATTGAGCAATAACAAAACTACCTTTGACCCAACAGTCCCCCTTCTGGAACTTTTTTCAGAATATACATACCCAACAATACAAAAATACAGTGTGTACGAGGTATTACTTGTAGCATTATTTGTTAGCACAAATACTGAAATCTATATACATAACCAAGATTCACTGAATAAACCATGGTATGGTAAAAAAGAATGCAACCAGAAGAAAAAATGAGGACAATCTCTAGGAAATGGTACAGAACTGTTTAGGATATATTAAGCAAAAATAAAAAAGCAAAGTGCAGAAGAGTATTTATACTATGTTACCTTTTGTGTTAAGAGGAAATAAACACAGAAAGGGTAACGTGAAGCTAATGAGACCACTTACCTACAAGACAGAGGAGGATTAGAGTGGAACACAGGAGTGGGGAGAGTAGTACTTCTAAGCATATTTTTTGTGCATTTTTGTCTATACTGTTCATATTCTACCTATTCAAAACACAAGATTATATGTGGGCATAATCTGCGCCACAAAATAGAATAGTTAAAAAAACAAAAAATCAGCATGTCAAAAGTCACAGGGGCCTGCTTAAAGCGGGGGTCTCATTAGCCAAATCGGAAATGATCTCATCATCAAATGAATCAAAACAAGTAAAAACAGTTTATAGTCCACTGAGTAAAATCATGAGTTCATACTGAAAATAAGCAAACAAAGCATGGGAGAAGAAGTACTTACTTATGCAACCGTTACAATAAAAATGGACTTAAAATGGACTTAGGCAAGAATTATCATTAGATGTCAGAAAGGGTGGGGTGACAAGAGTTTGATGAGGAGCAGATTTACAGTCTCTAAGTGTTTTCACACATTACTTATAAACCAAGAAAGGAAGAATAGAAAAACTATGCAGTGGAGCAAATAGGAAACTTGAATACAGCTGAACACCAACATGACCACAGTAAGAAGCAAACAGACATCACCTCTGGACTGTAATAGGGTATGTGGTAGGGACTTGATAATGGGGGGAGTCTAGTAACCATGATGTTGCTTATGTAATTGTACATTAATGATACCAAAATTAAAAAAAAAAACAAAAACAGACAGACATCACCTCTGGATGTGAGACCCTGAAAAGGACATATCACTTAAGCAGTATTCTGCCCCCAAATGTATAACCTGAATCAAGAAAAAATGTTCAAACCCAAACTGAGAAACATTAAATAACTAAAGTAAGTGGCCTGACATTTGCAAAGATGTCAATGTCAATGTCATGAAAGACTGCAGGATTCTAACAGATAAAAGGCAACTAAGACATGACAACTAAACACAGTATATGATCCTAGTTTAATCCTCTACTGGAGAAAAGAAAAACTGTATAAAGGACATTGGGACAGTGGACAAAACTGAAATGTGGATGGTAGACAAAAATGTATCAGTAAGCAGTCTCCTGAACTACACTGCAGCTATAAAAGAGAGTATTTTCATTCTTAGAAAGCATACAGTAAGGAGTAAAGAGATTTATGCATTCAACCTACTCTCAAATGGCTCAAGAAAAGAGAGAGAAAGCAAGGATACTGCCCACGCAGCATGTTAAAATGGGAAAGTGGATAGAGAGTGTACGTGAGTTCTCTGTAATAGTTCTGCAACTTTTTGAAAAATTATTTCAAAATAAAATGTTTAAAGTGGCTTCTGAAACAATGGCACATGCTGTACAACACCCAATGCCACCCTTTCAAAGATTATTTTGTCTCTTCTATTCAAAACCTTGAGATAGCACAAAAACTTGGTTATTCTACTTGTATCCCACCTATTTTTGAGAAATAACTTTGAAAACACCATTTCTGATGTACCTGGTGTCAATGTCAGCTGCCTGGATTGTATTAAAAAGCAATTCAGCAACACCCACTCCCTCAACATTGATCAAGTGAGGCTGAAATAAAGCTTCTGGTGCTTCAAATCTTTCTCCCCCAACTTTGATAATGCGGCCATCTGGGAGCTAGAAACCAAGAATAAGCAGGTATTAGTCAGCAAAAGATTTTAACATTTTCCAATGTTCTCTAGAACACTGGTACTTTTAAACACATCTGCTCTATAACCAAAACCCCTATCTGTAAATATTTCTTCTAAAATACATTTTTGAAAAAGAAAAAAAGGTAAAATACATTTACATAGTCTGTTCTGCCTTTAAAAATGAAATGCCATACCCCCAAATACCAGGAGTATTTTGGAGAAATCACCAAGACTTGAGCACATGATGTTCCACTGGTATGATTTAATTTTAGCAGACAGATACATTCAATTAAAATTTTTAAATAATTTCTTTCATCATATACTCTATGAAATTCAATTTTGCCATTAAAACACCGTATCATGTGTGAAACTTCTGTTCAGTCATTTAATCTGAAAAATGTTCTATGACCACAAAAGTTTAAGGAACATTGATCTAGACTGCTTTTTATTAGGCAATTGTTATATCCTACTTACTAGGACCTATTAATTTTAAATAATGAATAAATACAATTTTATTTTAAGCAACTAAGATTTAAACAGGTCATATATCATTACAGCATTACTTTGTGCAGAAAACTCGAGTCACTTTAAGTTTATATTTAATTAAATGAAGAAAAATGTTAATCTTTGACCACCTCACAAACTCACTGGATTCTTACTTAGGTAACATGCATGCTGGTGTATGCTTGTATTTGACAGATTTCTATGAGATACCAGAATTTGTTTTATATTAACATTTCTAACAGTGTTTTTATTTATAACATAATTACAATAATTATATTTAGACTCCAAAATTGACTTTTCAATATGACAAAACCACAAAGTTCTTTAAGATATAATAATCCTACATGCTATAATTGTTTACAGATATGTGCAAAGCTGTATTTTTCAAAAACTCCAAGATTATTTTAAAATGACAATTTTATACATATCTGTGATATATAGAGCTTCATGAGTCAAATAGTTTAGTAACTCAGTCCTAAGTCTCATTAGTTACAATTTCAAGTTAACATTTGTTTTGAACATCTCATTAAGAAAATACTAAGTCAGGAAAAAACTGCCACCTACTGAATTATTAAATTAATACTATAAGATGATCACTTCCAAAACGTATGTTGCAAGAGAACACTAGTGCTGTGAAATGCTGAAGAGTCCTATAATCTAGTGAGAAATAGGTAGTATACTATACTCTCAAAGTCATACACATACTGGCACATCAAAGACTCTGAGAAGTCCTCCAGTAAAGTGAAACCCACTCTTCCCCAAACTTATTTGCCAATGTAAACCCCATTTTAATTTTTGTAAAATACCTATTAACATCTCAGGGAAATAACATTCTGTAAAACATGCTGAAAAATGCTATTCCAGATATTAAAATCTCACATCTCATATCTAATTATACCCTAAAGTAGAAAAGCAATTTATGATTCTTGACTTATTTCACATTATATGGTATCTTAAAATAATTAAATCATGGAATCTGAATGTGGTCATACACATACATAACAAATCCAAACAAAAAGGCTAGATTCCAAGAAGACCCCCTTAAACACATACCAGTAATCATGGTTGTCCACATCAGGTGTCACCAGAAAAACTTACCGTGTAAGACTCAACTAATACTGTGGTTTCTAAGGCCAGTTTCTGCTCTTGCTCAATATTATATCCCACATAACACAGTTTTTCTTTAATCATGCGAACAGTTTCAAAATCAGCAGAGTGGTTGAAGGCGTATCCTCGCAACAGAAGCAGCTGGTACAAAAAAAAGCAGTAAATTCAATTCAATGAGTTCAATCTGCAAAAGCTATTATTGCTCACTATCTCACATTAGTAACAAATGCAATGGACAGTGGGTCCTTAGCTTTCACTGAGTATTTCAGAAACAAGATATTACTTGACTTGCCATAAAAGGACTTATCTCAGTTTCACTGAGCAATCTTGCAGAAAATAACAATTAACAGTTTATGAAAAATAAATGGGCTAACGGAGCTAGAAAACTTGAAGAAAATACTGTTGGAGTACTAATGCTTAAATAGTTTTTGATAATCAAGTCTATTAATAAATATTATTTTAGTACTGGACTCAAATAATGTATAATTTGCTCAATCAAGGCCATATTCATGAAATACTCCTAGGTCTTAGTTTTATCCCTAGCTTCTAGTACTATGTCCGACACATACTAGATGGGCAATAGCATTTGTTTAAAAAATAAATGATAAAGAGAATTCAACCTGCTCACAGGAAGAAAAAACCAACCACAACTTTAAAAGATAAATCCCTTAACCTTTGTGTTTATGTTCAAGGGAGAACCCTCGGAAACTCCACCGGAGGTTACCTCAGACAGAATGTTGGCTGAGGATGTGAGTATTGTAATTCTTGTTAATGCACCTATTATTCTAAATGAGACTAAAGGAACCCAATGTCAAGGGTGAAGGAAGACTCAATGTAACTCGGTTCACTGCACACATTATCACTCTAGAACAAAGATTCTCAACAGGAGCACCAACACTTTGGATCTAGAATTCTGTGTGTGCCGACTAACCTGTTCATTGTTAAGTGTTTAGTAGTACTCCCGTACAGTGGTACAAACAACCAAAAAATGTCTCCAGATACTGGGGGGCAGCACTACCTCTGGTTGAGCCACCGACCTGGAGAGAATATACCCACTACAGAATTCTGGTTACGGGCAATATTCTAAACATTTTTAATATAGAAAGCTCATGTCTCTAGTGTCCTGTATACTTACTCCTGTATACTCCAGCAACATTTGTAAGAAAAATCTAACTAACTACATTCAAAAGTAAATTTTAAAATAGTAAGCACTTAAAAGTTGGATATATTCTATGAAACCTAAATATTAAACTCTAGCACATCTGGACCCTGTTTCTTATTTTTTTAATCTTTTTTTAAAAATTAAGGTATCATTTGATATACAATCTTATGAAGGTTTCACATGAGCAACATTGTAGTTTCAACATTCACCCATATTATCAAGATCCCACCACCACCCCATTACAGTCACTTTCCATCAGCAGAGTAAGATGCTGGAGAGTCATTACTTATCTTCTCCATGCTATACTGCCTTCCTCGTGACCTACCTACAATATTGTGTGTGCTAATTATAATGCCCCTTAGTCCTCTTCTCCCTGCTTCCCCACCCACACTCCCCAACCCCTTCCCTTTGGAAACCGCTAGTACCTTCTTGGGGTCTCTGAGTCTGCTGCTGATTTGTTCCTTCAGTTTTGCTTTGTTCTTATACTCCACAAATGAGTGAAATCATTTGGTACTTGTTTTTCTCCGCCTGGCTTATTTCACTGAGCCTGATACCTTCTAGCTCCATCCATATTGTTGCTAATGGTAGGATTTGTTTTCTTTTCATGGCTGAATAATATTCCACTGTACATAGGTACCACCTCTTCTTTATCCATTCACCTACTGATGGACACTTAGGTTGCTTCCATATCTTGGCTATTGTAAATAGTGCTGCGATAAACATACAGGTGCATACGTCTTTTTCAAACTGGGGTGCTGCATTCTTAGGGTAAATTCCTAGGAGTGGAATTCCTGGGTCAAATGGTATTTCTATTTTTAGTTTTTTGAGGAATGGGTTCCCCTTTCTCCACATCCTCACCAGCATTTGTTGTTTCATGTCATTTGGATGTTGAACATCCTAACTGGTGTGAGGTGACATCTCATTGTGGTTTTCATTTGCATTTCCCTGATTAGAGATGTGGAACATCTTTTCATGTGCCTATAGACCACCTGAATTTCTTCTTTGGAGAAATATTTATTCGGATCATGTGCCCATTTTTGAATAGGGTTATTTGCTTTTTGGGTGTTGAAGTATGTGAGCTCTTTATATATTTTGGATATGTTGTTTATGAATATATTCTCCCATACTGTAGGATGCCTTTTTGTTCTGCTGATGGTGTCCTTTGCTGTACAGAAGCTTTTTAGTTCGATGTAGTCCCATTTGTTCATTTTTGCTTTTGTTTCCATTGCCCAAGGAAATGTGTTCAGGAAAAAGTTGCTCATGTTTATATTCAAGAGATTTTTGCCTATGTTTGTTTCTATGAGTTTGTGGTTTCATGAGTTACATTCAGGTCTTTGATCCATTTCAAGTTTACTTTTATGTATGGAGTTAGACAATAATCCAGTTTCATTCTCTTATATGTAGCTGTTCAGTTTTGCCAACAGTATTTATTGAAGAGGCTTTCATTTCTCCATTGTATATACATGGCTCCTTTATCATATATTAATTGGATCTGGGCTGTTTTTAATCAACTATAATTAATTAGCTATGTCTGATTTTGTGGGAAAGAAAAGGCAACCCAATGGAGACTGACCTTTAATGTATGCCTGTCCAAAGAAAGGTTTTACAGCAGAAAAGCTGCGAGGGTAGTCAAGAAGTTTCAGAGTCCCCTCCATCTCTGAAATACCTCTCTACCCACTCCTTGGGAACAGCAAATGTATTTACGTAATGATGCATTCTCATTAGTACGCCAGAGATCATGGGTATCAGTCTTATACGGATTTTACATGAGTAATGGGGTAGCTGGCCATTTTTCTAGTGGTGCAGATTTGCTAGAATCCTGAGATGATACATTCAATTTTGTGTTAGGTCGGTAAACACAAACTGCAAAATCTATTTTCTTTCTCATACCTTGATAAGGTACCTGGTAATATCCCTCCCAGCAATATCCAGTCTCCTGGTAAGATGAGGGAGAGAAAAGCCTTCATATACCGGGCAAATATGGGTTACACCATCTCCAGAGTCCACCACTACTCCAGTCAATAAACCTGTATAAGAACCATAAGATTTTAAATAAAAAGCCAGATCAGAAAAATCAAAGCCAGCATTTCTTTATTGTTTATTTGTACTACAGTGTATTTCTAATGCACAGACACTAAAGTCAGTGTTCTATGTGTCCTGTGTGAGACTTTTAGTCTAATCATGTGTTACCCCATGAGATGGAAAAAAAAAAGACCCTGAGACTTAGGACTGAAAAACACAACATGCTCTTAGAGCTGACACAATTTTTAAAAACTTTTTCCTAATTTAATCTTGATCCCTGAATTCCCCTGAAGTGAAATTTTCTAAAGCATCATGGATAACTTTTATGAAAACCAATGTGAAAGATAAATATTACACAAGCGGAGAGTGAATTTGTTGATATAATCTAGTTCTTTATTATTATTTTTGTCATACAGTATATTCAAAACTGTGTCGTTTTGGAAAAATTCCTGTTGGTACTAGATAGCCAGAAATTTCAGGACAATTAATTTGAGATGGTCAAAGGATTACTTTAACTATTCACCAGAAACCAGAAAAACACTGTCAGAAACCTTACAAGAAAAGATCAACAAAGAAGCTGCCTTGTTTCCTAGAAGGATTTAAAGGGATAAATGGCTACAAAAATTAAGTGTTTTCATCTTTTGTATGAGGGTTAATTCAGAAAACAAAACACACAACAAAAAAAACCCTTTTTCTAACTCATATTTTCTAACAGTTTTTAACAGTCTAATGTTTTTAACCAAAAAAATTTTAATCATAGTAGGCATTACCTATAACTTACTTAAGCACTACTATATTATTTGTCCACCCTGAACAGATTCTCTTCTTTCTTATTCATACAAACTTGAATGCACTATAGTATCTAATTGTAATAATGATTTATCTTTGAATACATTTATTCAAACTACCTCCTTTTTTAAAGTGACATAATCTTTCCATAATTGATGCTGTAAACTTCATAAAAATCATATACTGTATTTTAATGTCGCATTCTTTTCAACAGGAGGCTTTCCATTGCAAAAAAAGTGGAACCCACAACATCATTAATTCAAAAATACTCCCAATAATATCAACTAAAGCAGGGATTTGCACTTTCCAAACACACATTTCTATCCAACCTATTTTCTACTCCGCCCACCAGTTTACATACTGGCCTTTCCCTGTTAGACATTTCTCAATCCTTTGACCCATTTCTACTGCCACACCCTTTTGTCACTGGATCATCCATTCTTTCCACTTCAAGTCCTATGGATTCTGTAAGGCTCAATCTAGTTCCTACCTTTCATTTATACCTTCCCCAACCACCCAAACCTCCAGCCCAGATTCTCTAATTCCAGTTATTTCCCTCAATCCTGTCTGTATCATGCAGTCAAACACACCTTCGTAAATCACCATGTCATCTCTTTTATTGAAAAGCCTTCCTTGACTCCAAATGCTTCCCTACATTTTTTTTTTTTTGCTTGTTTAACTGGTAGTATCAGCCACCTTGTTTAGGAAAATTTTACTATGGCTAAGAGTTCTTGATTAATACTACTGGATTATCTTTTCTTAAAATTGAGGATTTAACAGTTAAACAAATATAGCTAAAGATCAGGAATTCTGAGAAGACATCTTCTCATTGGACAGAAATTAAGTTTATCAATATAGCTAGAAAAATCTGTTAAGATCAACTTCATTCAAATATAATTCAAATAAAAATCCATTTCAGCAGAACTGTCCCATCTCCACCCCCTTAAAGGAATTATTATCACCAGTTTCAAAATTTTAGTATCTACTTTTACAAGTTCTAAAGTAACTTCTGAAAAAAGTTTTTAAATGAAATAAAATTACCTAGATACAGACAAGAACTCCTTGTAAAGTAACAAGTGATTTTTGATTCCTTCTTCAAAAGAAAAGTTACTCACAGCTGGACTGAAATCACCTTAAAGGCAAGGAGACCATGCCTAGATTACTCACTGCCATATCATCCTCTGTGTTAAACAGAGTGCAAGGCACATGCCACACTTGTTGAATGAATAAAAAAAGGCTAAAATTTAATGCCAAGTATTTTCTAAGTATCTAGATGTAGTACTAAAAGACATTTTAAAAATCTAGGATGTAGTTTTACTAGAATTAGATGGATCACCATGATATTAAAGCTTGTTGTATAAGTACTCTGTCATACACACTGCCTTAAGTACTAAGGCTCAAGTGTCACCTCCATCAGAAACCTTCTTTGATGTGCTGAATCTAAATTACTACTTCTGCATCTTTTCCCCAATAGACTCTAAATTCCTTAAAGGGATCTTCACATTTCAAGTGCGTAACACACACTGTGGCCCAGTCCCCATTAGTTTTCAGTAAGACCATCAGAATACAGAGAGCTCTCCCCACATGGCCAATATTTTATGCCCAATACACAGGGAGGCAGTTACTAATGGCAGTACCAAGAAAACAGCATTTTTGTCCATTAAATCCACCTCAGAAGTTACGAAGACACTCTGAAATGTCTATCTTCTCCTTTGTATTTAATCTGTTATATATTTAACAAGCATGATTTTATACTAACATTTTTGGATCTGTGTTATTTTTTTTAAGACTGACAATTCTAAGGATAAATTCTATGTTCATTTTCCACTGCATAAAAAATGTTTATTTTAAAATAGCCGAAAAGAGGGAGCCGCCTACTTTTGGAAATATTGAAGTCTCTCTTTATCTTAAGTCCTTTACTGTTGAATAAAGAAAATTAAAATGTGTGAGCACAAATTTTATAAATTATGGAAATATTTGAATAAATATGTAAAATATTATGATTTTCCAATTTGATACTGAAAAATCAAATTCCTTTGACATAAAAAAGTTAAGTTTTACCTCATCACCTACCTTGAGCATACAAAGTCAGAACTGCCTGGATCGCTACATAAACACCAGAAAATTGGTAAGTTTCAAACATTACCTGAAAATGCAAAAGGAAAGAAAAAATATTGTTATTTAGAAAGTGCATAACATTGACATGCTTTCTTGCTGGTCACAGAGTGGGTAAGTTGCTCAGAACAGAATCAAGGGGCCTAAAAGAGTCCTCCATTCACTTCAGCTGTTTTAGCCTCTATTAAAATCCTGCGTCACAGAGCTCCAGTTTTGGGGACAGAATTTTGGATACACACATACATCCCTAAAAATTTCATAAGTGCTATAAAGCAAAGATTTCTGAGTGTTTTAGTTAATGGCTAATTAGAGTGAAAGCTTTCCACATCTGAACAAGCCCTTCTTAGCGTCCCTTAAGGGAAAAATATTTTAATTCAAAGACAAACTATAGAAATTGACTGCTGACCCTACCACCTCAGTCCTCCAATCTGGGCCAAGACTATGGCTCTACCTCCAACAGTTAAAAAAAAAAAAAGGTAGTAAAGTAAAGCAGGAAGACAGAAATAATAAATGCAGCAATGACTGAACGTTGGCAGACAGAAACTGTTTAGCTGCTGAGCACCTCCCTCCTTGAGCCAAGGCATCAGCTCCACCCTCCACATGAACTACACCGGAGTGAGGAGGAGTCTTCTGGTGCTTTCTCTGTCACAACCTCCTCATTCTCTATACTCCAGGCTGGCTGGGAACATCCTGCAGGATTTCTTCTGTCATTTATAGTGAATAATTCTTGACTGGCAGGACTGACTACCACTATGAATATCCAGATATTCAGAAATCTTACAACTGACATGTGCATTAAATAGAGAATTAAATAGAATTTAAATTTTATAACTCTGAAATATCTATTTATCTATTAAGTCACTAGGTATTGTAGGTAGTGTTCTATTCCACCATCCTTTATTGCTCCTCCACAGGGAGAAAAATGGAAGAGTGATGCTGTATTTTCATTTATCAACTTAAAAGTCTGTTAGAATTTGCTTTTACTCACAAGACCATTAACAAGTATTATAGTACTAAAACAACTTTCTGGATGAGATTAAAGTAGGGGATTATTAGTCACAGGAAATTTGCACTCACAAGTAAAAAGGAGTATTAAAAATAAGGAGAGGCCTTAGATCACAGTTATACCAACTCTTGTCATTTTCACAGATGAGAAGAAAAATAGGCCCTTGTCAAATAGCTAGTTAGTGGAAGAGACATCCAGCTATAATCTCACTGACTTTTTATTTGAAAGAAAACTTGGTTTTTATTGACAGTGTTACTTTCCTAAGAGGTTTCCGTATGTAGGAACCTTTTTAGTTTAATGCAGTAATATCCCTGCATTCTGATTTTCTAAATGCACTGCTAAGAATAAGTAGCAATTACAAATGACTACTTATTTATCACAAAGTATTAGTGGCTGTACTCATTTAGAAAGTGTAAAATTCAATTAAAATATGAACTAATACTACAGAGCTCATCTTTCAGTTTTAGAAGTGGCCAGGAGGAAAAAAAAAGTAATAAAAAATGAACTACAGATTGGTATGGATTCTCTAACTAAAGCCATGATCTCAAATTTTTAAAACTTAATACAAAAATTGAGTTTAATCCAGACTTAAAACTATTGTTTAACAATAATCTCTTCTAAACCCGTTTCAAAATTACCATCAACATCTAAACATGGTCACAGAGTAAAGCAAGATATTTTCATGACTAGTGTCTGGAAAGCTACTAAAACACAAAAAAGTTACTTTATTAGAAGTTTCTGCCTGATATCTAACAAAAATGAAAGAAACCTTGAGAGAAGTTATTTATCTAAACTATTAAGGATAAAGACTTGTTGCTTTCTGTCACTGCCTTATTTATTTATTTGTTTGTTTGATATTAAGGTATCATTGATATACAGTCCTATGGCTTTTACAACATTCACCCACATTATCAAGTTCCCCTCCACACTCCATTGCAGACACTGTCCATCGGTGTAGTAGGATGCTGTGGAGTCACTACTCATCTTCTCTGTGCTGTACTGCCTTCCCCGTCCCCCCCACTCCAACATGATGTGTGTCACTGCCTTTTTAATCTTTTACTAGCTTCTCCAATCTCTCTGGTCCTTAGCCTTCTCACCACTTTATACTCTCATTTCTTGGGTGAGCCATATTATCTATATTCTGAAGACTCCCAAGTTATCTCCAGCATCAGACTTTTCTCCTAAACTGGACCATACACACACACAGTTTCCTGTGCTACCCAAAAGTAGAGTGTTCACATGAAATCCTTTGTAAAGACAAGATGTCAAAAATCGAGGTAACTACTGATAATTTATATGGAAAAAATCTTCAGCATGCCCAGACTCAAGAAAAACCTCTTTTAGGCTTTTCTGATTCTTGAAGGCACATCTTGCTAATGGACACACAAAATAAACTGAGATGAAGCACAGATGCCAACAGACATAGTTCAAAGCTATGGTGGCTTGATGCTGAGTCACAACTCCTGGGAAAGGAGCCCAGTAGCGCCGGTCCCACTGCCCTGGGTACACTTTGCCCCTTTTACTATACTGAACACTAGTTTCACTTTTCACCTTTATTTGTAAAAGCAAAAATCCTCTTCGGATTTCTTTTGGTTAGCAAAAGCAGGTACTAATGTAGGCCTTTCATAAAAGCTCAGTGGCATAAGAACTTCTGAAAAGAAGGGGATACCTGTAACCATCTACTTGACATTTTTGAACACCTGATCCCTTCCCACCCCAATTCTATCTATGCTACTTATCTAGGTCTTTTTCCATCTCAGTTGATGGTAACCCTGGGAACCCACCCTCCAGGTGCTCAAGCCAAAACCTTTCAAGTCATCCTTGACTTCACCCTCTAATACCCATATCTACTGTATCAGAAAATTCTCTGTCCCTATCTTCAAAATAGATCCACCATCTGACCACTTGTCACTACTTCCCCTGCTATTACCCCTAAACCTAACAATCTTCATCTTTTGCCTAGATAACTGAAAAACATTCCAAACTGCTCTCTCTTCCACCCTTGCCTCATTATGGTCTATTGTCAATACAGCAGCCACGGAAACCTAGATGACCATGTTCCCTATGAGTCCTTCACTTCACTTGGAGTAGAAGTTTAATTCCCTATAGAGCCAACTAGGCCCTAGATGATCTGTCTCCATTATTTCTCATCTCCCACACTGGCTTCCTTGCTGAGTCTAATATATCAGGCTTGCTCCATTTTAAGAACTTTACACTGGATGCTCTGTGCCTGGAATGCTCGCCCCTGACATATCCTGGCTAACTCTCTTACTCTTTGTTTAAACATTACCTTCTGTGGGGTAAATGGAAGTTTTCACCCAGAATTTCCTGCCTAGCCTTAGTGCATCTGCATACCAATGGATGTTTACCAGCCTCCAGTTGATCTGGAGTAAGAGGTGGAGAGAAAACAGCTATTATCTCATCCCCTCCATTCCTGGTACCTAACTGGTCTAGTGCCCATCACCAGGGACCCACCCATGGGGTTCCTCCCAGAAGGGGTGGGCAACTGAGGGGGACTAACGGAGCAAGGGCTGGCTAGCGAACCCAGGTGAGAAATAAACCCCTTTAACCCAACCTGCCCTTCCCCTTGTCTGACTTCGGTTTCATCAGATTCACAGGGAACTTGTCCCAGGCAGTGAACTCCCTTACTCCCGGAGCTACACCTTCTCAAAGAGGCCTATGAAAAATGCAACCTCCCCCACTCTGCATTCCCTTTAACCTGTTTTTTTTCCCCTTAGCATTTATTATCTTCTAAAAAACAATCAACTGGTTTCCCCCTCAATTTTTTGGTCTGTTTTCCCCTTCTAGAATGTAAGATCCATGGCAGCAGGATTTTGTTTTATGTACTGATATGTCCTACTCAGAAATAATGACTAGCATATAATTAAGGCATTCAATAAATAGGATCTGGGGGAAAACAACAATTATTTTTACTCCCTTTATCCTTAACAACAATGGTAAGACAAACGAAAGAACATTGGTTTTAATATCACATCACAGAAACACATTTATGCACATCCATCTAAAAACTTACCTCCACAATTTTCTCTCTGTTTTTGGTTGGGTTCATGGGAGGTTCTGTGAGTAAGATTTTACAATTTCTGGTATCTATGTTAAGTTTCTCTGGTCCAAATGTATAGTCCCACAGGTGTTTCATGTCATCCCAATTTCGCACTATGCCATTTTCCATAGGATAGTTAACTTCTAACATTGAACGTAGTTCACTTGCTTCATCACCAACCATAAGATCCTAGAAAATTATAATACCAAACCTTCAGACAAAATTTTTGCATAAAATACCTTCAGAAAATATGTTTCCATGATATTTTGGAAAATTTGGGTAAAATTAATTTTAATCTTTTTGGCACTGTCAGATTGTTCTTCATTCCACAAGTTAAAAAAAAAATCTTTTCTTTCAAGAACAATCCCTTGCTAAGTTTAATCATGGATAATAAATTTTTATGTACAATGTATTTTAAATCAGTAAATTGACCTTACCTTTAATACATATGTTTCCAAAAGAAGAGCATTAGCACAAATAAACCCCACATTTTCATATTTTGGAGGGTTTTGTTATGAGGTTTCATCTGTTTCTTTTGCTCAAATGTTCAAAAAATAAGGCCTGTGATATGTGAAATAGCACATAGGGGAAAAAACGTGTAGAAAAATGCTCCATGCATGCAGCACATTTTTTCTGTACTATAATATATCAAAATGGCAAGTGCAAGTACTATAAGGCATAATGAAAGAAGCAAAAAATAAAATGATTATTTATTACACTTTAATAATGCATATATGCACATTAACTTGTAAATTTCACAAACTTCTACCTACATGTACCTAAATTAGAACTGAAGTAAGTTTCTATATATGCTTCACCAAAATGAATGAATGAATTTGCAGAAATATAAAAAAAAAATGAACAAGGAACAGTTCTTTAAAATTATTTCATGAACAATGTTTTCAATCTTAAAGTTTAATACTGGTAACCTATGCTCTCACAGAATATCCACAAGTGTTGTCTCCAATGAGAGCATACTTAAGATGACCCATATTTGAACAGTCAAATTTGTATGTATAATAAGGCTAGTAAGGTCCTAGAATTTAAACTTATTTTGGAGATCAGCTAGTCAAGATTTAAATAATATTAATTTCTATATATATTGATGAATTTTTAAAAAGCCATTATCAGAAATAGCTACTATTTGGTACAAACCTTAAGTTTAAAACATGGGAAATGAAAACAGCAAAATTAACATAAGATGTCTTAAAACAGAGGCTTAAACATATGTGAGTTAAAAATTTTTTAAAACAGTAATTTGAAAAGAAGATCAGAGAGAAACCAGGGTGAGAACTCTATTAAAAAAAACAGATTTCTGGAAAATCATCTGAAAGCAACAACAAAAATGAAAAAGTAAAGCAGCTACTAGATACATTCATTGAAACTTCTCTGTTGCAACTGATTTCTTATATACAGTTAATTTACCATAACTCAATACTCCAATTTCTTAAATAGCAACTGTTTAGAATGATCTGGTAGGAAAATGAAAGATGAAAAATCTGTGTTTGTGAACTCTAGTTAAGAACATGCATAAGCTGAATTATTTAGGAAGTATACCAATACTTCGAAATACATCAAAAACAAGATAGATGGATGGATGGAGGGACATGGGATATATCAGTATAATAAACATTAATGTTATACTCTACGTGATGGGTATATGGGTTTCACTGTAAAAATCTTGCAACTTTGCTGTATATTCTAATACTTCTTAATAAAATATTAAGGGGAATTAATTAAATCTCCAAGCATATATATTACTTTTGGCCATTAACAAATGTAATTTTAATATACAACTTTGTTACTTTCTTCTAGAATATATCTTTCTTTGTGTTGTAGGAAGTAATAGATTATATATAATTAGATGGTTTATATATATCCATACACATTCACAACATTTCAACAAATTCAGAGTAAGTCTAATCTGATTTCATCTGAGTATTTTATTTTTATTCCATGCAAGAATATGTCTGACTCAATGCCAACTCAAAATAAAAGCCTCATGTATCTACTTCTAAGACATACATACTACAAAGGATTAACTGAAAGAATCATCTGGCATTGAGTATATTAGCATTCCTCTGAACAAAGAGGACATTTTAAATGGAAGAAATGAGTATTAACCTATTAGATTAGTGCCAATATTGTCAAGTAGCTCAAGCTACATAACTCAAAAATTCAATCATATCTTAAAATTCTAATTAAAAAATACTAGAACATATAACCTTCTCTAGAACATTTCAACTTCCCCAAACCAAAAATACTCAGTATTTTATTTAACTTGCCATCATACCTCAGAACCAAGTTATAAGACATCAGATTAGGCCTTAGATTTTTACCACCACCTCATCCCTGGACCCAAGCCTAAACCATCACTTATTACCTTAAAGAATGAGAAATTACTGTAACTGTCTGAAATGTTGTTTCAAAGGTATTTATATTTTATAAGAAGCACAGTGCAGATTTATTTGCCAAGAATCATTTCGAACAATGTCACCTCAAACTGTAAAACAGAGCACACACACTTAAATCCCTAGAAGGAAATTCCATAAAAACCATGTTAATTAAGCTTACCCGGTTCTACAAGTATACAATTTTCTTAATCTCCTTAGGATTTTAAACAAATGCATGATATTTCATTTAGGATAAATAGAGGAATTTCCATTTCTAGATGTTTTTGTTTATTCAAAAGAAAACTCCACGAAGTTACTGTTACTGGTTAAAATATGTATCAGTAGAAATGCAGTCATCTTTGTCAAAGCTGCTTACAAATAATATTAAAAACAAACTTGAAAAACCTACTACAGAAGCACTCAGACTATCAGAGAAATATCTGGGATGCACAAGTAAGCTTCTAGTTCAAAATGAAAAGGCACCACATAATGGCATTTATTTAGGGGGAAAATTTGTTGTTTATGGAAAAGGCTTACAAGACTCTGACCTTTTCTTTCTCTATCCTCAGATGTTGTAAAATCTGCTCATCAATAAGGATGATATAGTAAGTAATTCAAACTCTTCCCCCCATTTACTATCTATAGTTCATTTACATATTAAAAATTTTCACAGCTTATTAAATATACATATATTATACTAGATGTAAAAATATATACAGGCTATGGCAGGCAATGTTGAATTTAACATTGATCAATAAAGTAGATTTATACAAATGTAAAGCTTCACCCCAATTTTCTGGATCACATATATCCTAAATAAAGCCACTAGGTTTCTCATATTATGCACATCACATTCCATTTTAATTATAACATTCATCTACAAGAAACACATGGAAAACAATTCAAAACTATGTTAGTAATTAGTTCTGGTTTGGTCCATTGTATGCAATCAGGGAAGTATAGGACTTAATTAGTTGCTACCAAATTGAAGCAATGAAAAAAGTTAAAAATTAAAGTACTTAAAATTAAAATATGGAATTACCCCCCCCCATACTAAAGGGACACAAAACAACAACTACTGTCCCACCAAGCAAAAGTGGAAAACAAACAGAGAGCATGTGTGTAACCTCACTTACCATCTTTTTGTTATTCTACTTCAACAGGTCAAGAAAGGTGAAGAGAGAGAAGGTAGAAGTAAGAGTCAGAAAAGGCCTAAATAAAATCCTCACTGAAATTTTTAAACATACAAGCAATAGAGACAAATTAGGTCGAGATCAGATGCAGTACTACTGTATTTTACGGAGTTAATAATTAGGGCCAAAGTAACATGGACAGTTATTATTCCTGAATGAAAATTAACTTGTTAAACAATTTAAATTTCCAGTTTTTAGTCTACTACATTTTCACTAACAAGACACAAAATTTGTAAGTCAATCTACTAGGCAGAGGAATTCCAAAAAGTCAAGTTTCTTTAACTCATTACTAAATTTAAGAACCTTAATTGAGGTAAATAATGATAACAGAAAATATCTAGCTGAGTAGGCAGAAGGTTAAATTTAGTAGTCAGGTTAAATTTGACACAAGTCTCTTACTGTTTTCTACTGGAAGACCAAATTAACTGGTAAGACTTAAAAGGCTGAGCAGATTGAACAGAATTGAGCCAACAGAACACAGAACGACAAACCATGCAAGCAAACGCTACCGGGGAATTCCTTAGCAAAAACATCTTAATAGACTATTGGTTAGTTTCATTTCTATCACCTGGCCTTAAAAAATGATAATAAAGTTGGGGGTGAAAAGATACATAAATTACTTGTGCCTATGTTGGAGACTAAAAAATGGCTGTATGTGATGTATCTTAATACCACAAAACTATTATCCATAGGGCATATAAAGGGCCATTCTTCTTTAAAAGCCTGATACTGAATAAAAAGTGTGACCTCCAACATCAAAAAAGCTTATCCTTGTCACTATTATTAGCTATGTTTTAACTTGAAGTTAATTTAACATTGAATTTAATCAGAATGAAAGGAGTTCACAAAAAGAGAAGAATCCCATAAATTTCCCAGAAGACCCTAAAAAAACTACTCTCGTGTTGAGTGTCTCGTCTGATTTTAACATAACAAAACAAAGGCCAGAATTTTTCAACATTTTAAGTCTTTAAAAACTTAACATAGAACCTAAGCTCCAGTTTATATTTTTATTCATTGTACAACTCAATTCTCTAGTCCAAACAGTGACTACTACCTATCTAATAGCTATCTCTATCATCTATTAATCCCTTTCCTAGATATCTCAAACAAATGTCCCCAAGAGGTATACCCTAACTCAGATTTCATACTCATAATCTAACAGTTCACTGAAGTCTTGCCAAAGATTGTCCAGATAGGACCAACAATGCTAGCTTATTCACAAGTTCAGCAAAAGAGCCCCTGAAGTCTACTGTATTTTTGTATAACTTGATTCCTAGGCCACCTGAAGAATTTAAGTCAACTGGTGACCGCCATTCTTTTGCTTATTCCATCTCTTTCTTCAAAAATACTGTAACTCCCACTTGATTCCCAACACATTCATTTTAACATGGGAGAAAAATCTATCATCCTTAGTGTCCAGTCTCTTGTTTTAAACACTCCAGGTAGGCAATGACAACCTCCCCTCCTCTCTCTCTATGGGAAGGCAAGTAATGCAAAAAGGCCAAACAGACTTGCACTGAAAGGCTTCCTCCTGCACATTATGGAATTATATTGGTGCAAAAAAGAACCAGTAATATTTACATCCTGTGATTTCCTCACTAGCTATACAGAAAAGTAGGGGGATCAGGCCATGAGAACGTGGAAAGGAAAAGTCACAGATCCCAAAGAGACACTAATATATAATGACAAAATATTCACAGCAATATAAAATCCTATTAAGTATTTTACTCCATTCAGAGCATAATGGCATCAGGCTATAATTAAAGTAAGATAAAGTTCAGTTCAGTTTTTGTGCCTTTCTCAAGTGTTGATATAAATTTAAAATTAAGAAATTCTTCCTCTTTGCTTTTCATGGCATCATATTTTAAAACTACTTAATTCAAAGAACACCTCACAGGTTTTTATCCTCATTTACCAATAAATAAAATATTACCTTGATTTCAATGTTTCCCACTTTGGTGGTCGATCTGATAATAGGTCTTCCAACCAAAGCTGGGAAGATGTGTTCTGGAAAATTAGAGCCTGCATATCCACACTTCACAAACTGGAAGAGAACAGTAAAAGAGGGTTAGTGTCAAGGTATTTATTATATCCATTTAAAAACAGTATCTGAAAAATACCATTTATACAATATTTTAAACTTCTGGTACTTCCAAATTACCCAAAGTAGTTGCCCTATCTACCGTATCTTCCTTTTATTTCCTTTATGGCATCAAGTACTCTGGGAGCTCACATTTATTTACCAGTTAACTGCTCATTTAGTGCCTGAGTGCACCCACTACAGGGAAAGCCTCAGGACAGCAGATATCTAAGCTGAGTTCATGTGGGAACCCAATGCCTCAGGTCCTGGCACACACAGTGATCAAAAGTGGGGAGTGGACCCATTTACTCAACAAATGCTAAGTATTTTTAGAAGAAAAATGTTAATGACCAGAACTAAACCTTCAACTGTAAAGCAGGCTTCCATTCATCTCTGGCAATTCACTTCAGCAACCTCTTTTTCCAAAATGGGAAATTAAAATGGCATCTGAACTAGCATCAGGTTAAACTACACATTCATTAGATATTTGTGACTATTTACATTTTCACATTTAAATAAACATTCAGTAATACCGGATAACATAATTTCACATATTCAGATAGTGTACTTCTCCAGTGAGGGCACATCATTGATCATTGTTTCTGGTAATACTTCCATTTTATACATTAAAACTGATACACTAGGAGATATAACAACTATAGTAAAACTGAAAATAGAACCATGTGTTTTTAATTATTATACCAATCATACAGTGTGTTCAGTCTTATTTAGAGCAGACATTGAAAAGAATTAAAAACTTCAGGGTAGGAGGAAGAAGCTATATAAGAAAGGAAATATAATTATAGTCTCTACCCGGGCCTTAACAAGTCTTTATTCAAGCTGCTACATCGTGCAAGGATTTCTCTGTCTACTGATTAATCCCAAGCACCTGAACAGTGCCTGGCACATTTAAGTGTACATTAAGTGACTGACCATTAAATATTAATAGTTTTGATGATGACTTGAGATTTTACTTTGATTATTTTAATATAGAGAATATGTTTATTATTGGGAGAAAGTCTATTGTTCCATGGCTATAGGCATCATACATCCGCTTAAAAGAATTAAGGACAAAAAACAGTTATCTGAATGTTATGTGTGACAGTAATAACAGAGCTGGATAGAAAACATTACCCTACCTCTTGAAAGAAAGCTACTATGTACAAGGAACTGTTTTATTAATGTGGGGTAAAACTTAGCAAGCACCTTAAACTTACTGACTTTTGACTAACCCTTTAAAATATAAAATTTTTTTATTTCAAAGATCTCTACAACAAACTTGTTGGAAATGATGCTGATGAATCACATTTAATTATACATAGACTAGAACATTCTGCCATCCAGAATTTCAAGTGTTTTATGAATAGAACATTTTAAATATAATAAAGTCAAGACCTAAGTAGATTAAAGCTACTTTAATGAAAAATCTGCTTGAAATTAAGTTGTTTCATATTCCTAGTACCACCTGAATTCCTAGCCTCTGCTTGTGTTTGTTTTAGAACCTACATAAAACATACTGTTCAGATATGTTTTCTTCCCAACCCACAAAACCTAGTCCTGGTCAGTTTATCACTGAGCCACCAAGATTGGGGTGTTTTTAAGGAATAGCTACCCATTTCTAAAACTAAAACTATGATCCTATTCTTACAGGATTACCTTTGAGGCAGAAGTTAGTTTGATATGATGGCACACACAACAGACAGCCTGCTTGTTAGACCTACCTCTCCATTTGAATAGTAGCTGATAGTAAAGAACTACAATATACTTCCCACCTGAATGAATGTTAAAATAAGCAGAATTCAGAAGCACTAGTCCATTTTTCCACAACGTCTTCTCAAATAATTTATCACTGTGACCCAGGAGTTTTACAGAGGACAATAAAACTAATAATTTTCTAATAAAGAAAAATGAGAAAAACCTCATACTCTTCTGAATCATAAACTCTCTTTGTCCTTAAGTCAAAATCCAGCTCATTCGATATGAATGGAAATGATACAGAAGGGCAAATAATCTCTTCCCATTATTGTCCCAGGCATACCCAAATTTCTACATAAATAAAATTTGCCATGATCACCAGTCTAATATCATTAGTCATACTTTCACATATATTCCAAACAAAGAAAGCAAACACTATATGGATATTAAATTTTTATGTTTACTTCAAAGTAATGTAAACATTAAGGACACTTGGATCAAAAGCATCCATTTACCAGGCTGAAAATGCTCACTTACATGGGTATGTTTTTGAAGAAAATTATACAGTGAACAACTGGAAAAGAATCTAGCAGTTTGCAAGGGCCACTGTCAGCATATTAAATGTACACAAATGAATTAAGTGAGAAATTATAACAAGCTGGAGATGGGAGAAGCCTGGATGGGACAACCTGCAAAGACTGACATAGCTCTCTCCTCTTATTCTGAGCCATACACACTTGGAAACCTGCAACACGGCAAATCTGTAAATAATCACATCACTCAATGTTTACTTATTATGATTGTTCAGGTGAATAATTTGTGTCTTAAAATTCTTGTTCGAGCATTTTTTAAAGGGATAAAATACTTGCAAAGTGCTTAAGACAAAAAGTGAGAACCTCTAAAACTACACAAAACAATTGTAAACCTACTAGTCCTGTGCTTCACAAAAGAACCCCAGAAATTTGGCTTCTAATTCAAATTAAAGATATCAATCACTTACTAATGAAATTACTTATTCTGCTTAAGCAGTGGCTTACTGGAAACATGCTGCCACAGTAATTCAGTGCTAGCATTCTTACCAGGTACTACATACTCGGTCAAAATGGCAATAGCTGCACTTTATCACATTATTTCATAGGTGAAAGCATTAGCAGTTATAATAACAAGAATATAATTTGAATCTTTTTCTCAATAATATACAACAAATAGACAATGTGGTATTTCCTTCCTCGCAAAACGTCAATATTAAAAAAAAAAAAAACAACCTAACCATGATGTGATAAAATACAACGAAAATACTCTTCTCCAAACTACCCATTTGGTATTATTTTAATCCCTGAGAAAAACCTCCCCCACACCAATCATTTTAAGACTTGGTGACTTAGTTCCCTCATTGTGTGCAATAAGGCTGTGCTTAAGAAATAGATTTTTACCATATATAGTTTCCTCGTCACAACACTGTGGTTTAAACAGCTCCCCTACTTTCTACTGAGTCATCAAATGCTAAGAACATGAGCAATACAATGTTCTTTCAAGCGAAAATGAAGAAAAAAGTCCATCTACATTTGCTCTAAAAGTACCTTCCTCCTCTCAAAAAATACACTGGGATTCATAAAGCCTCATTTGGGCTTAATTTTTGTTTCCTTTATTAATTTAATCTGATGGCACTGATACATTCATTAATTTAACAGAGTGATTATTCTGATCTTAGACCACCAAAATAGTTATTCTATTTATTCCAAAGCATTTTGCAAGGTGAAACCAGTTTTTTTGTTTCTTTCTACTTCAAACACTAAATTCAACATATAAATTAGCGGAAGTCTGATAAAGCAGGCCATAATCAACCACAAATGTGTTATACATGAAAGTATAATTGCCCTAGCATTTTAAACTACTTTGTATCACTAGACCCTAAAAATTGTCACACAGGCACTCCAGAAGTCTTAGCTGTTGGTGAACTAATTCAATGCTAACAAAATCACCCAAGTTTGGTAACAGGATACACAATACCTGAGCCTAAGCAGATTTTTCACCTATCTGACCACTTTCAGTGGCTCTAGTTTTCAATGGAGGCTCTACTTTAGGTTTGAAAAGTTATAAGGATGGAGCCCATAAATTACTGGAATCAGATGAATTGTCCTCCTCTAAGATGCCTAATGAGATGCTGGTCTAGTGAGGAAAACGAGCAGGACAAACATCCAGAGTATGATAAGAATTTACCTACTCTAAGAACATGCAAATTATAGCTTTCCCATTAAAAACATCAACTTCTCAAATAACCTTTAATTCTGAAACCCGAAATGTGTAAGAGGCCAGTTGTTTTAGGGTAACAACTATTCTCCTAAGTTTTTACAAATTATAGAGAATTTGTAGAGAATTCATTATACCTACCGGTACCAAATAAAAGCAAGATGACTATGAAGTATAAACAGGAATAAATACAGAAATCCAAGTGGTTCCTAACCCTCCAAATTTCCAGAAATAGCACATCAAAGCCAGTTTTTCATGTGAAGCCAATGTCTATTGAAAATCTGGATAAAATTTTAAAACTAGAAACCAAATACATACTTTTGCTTGAATTATCTACACTTTTCATATTTAAGTCATAGTAACTTAACTTTCAAGGAACAAGATTCTTAAATTATGGATTAGACATAAGTCTAATCAATAATACGATGTTTTTTAATAGATAAACTAATGAAATGGTAACATAAAAACAAACTCATGGCTAACATTCCTACTGTATGAATATACAAAAATATCATATACACTACAAATACAGGGGTCAAAACCCTTAAAAGTGGAATCCATTAAAATATAACTAGCTCCGATTTCTAAAGAGAGTATCTGATGTATTCACAAACCAAAATATTTTAAACTCACTTTCTAAAGCTTTAAATTTATTGAGAGGTCAATATGAGAGTACAGTGGGAATCAGGATAATTTTTTAAAAGCACCTTTCTTCCCTCACTCTTTTATCACTTGTCTCCCAGACAACCACTGAGCACACTCTTCTTATGCATCCCTCCACAACTTTCATATACAAACACAAGTTTGTGGACACATAAATAACTGTAATAATGAAAACTCACATAAATGGCATCATTCTAAAACTTTATTTTAAACGGTAAATCTTAGGCATGTTTCCATAGGGGTGGATCTCTTTTTAAAGGATTCCACTTTGTATTAATGTCCCATTTATTATATGCTAACACTTCTTACTCTTCATTTTTTAACTTAGTTCAGATAAAGCTTGTATAATTATTTATAAAAGTCTGTAATGAATTCAACCAAAAGCAGTTTTATGGCAGTGAATACCAGCTCTTTCTTTCTGTCAACAATCCAGTTTCCAAAGCGCTCTCAAGTTCAAAAACTATTTTAATTCATATGTCACATTTATGGAAGGAAGGGGAGAAAATTTACAAAATATTGCAACCAAAACGGTTAGAAATCACTTCAATATAGGGTGAAGTGATCACTACAGAATTCATCCAAAATAAGTACTATTTCTGTCTTCTAGTATGATGACTTGGCTGCCTCAAATAATTTTTTTTTAATGAGAAGGGGTAGGGCTTTTGAAAGCAACAACTTTCAAATGATTTCTAAATCGGAGTTTTAGTCAGATTTTTACAATTATTTGGATTTTACAGTCTTAAAGACTAACATCTGCATTCTACACCTAAGGAAAAAAAGAGATGGTGGTGAGGATCAAAACTGATTAACTTCCCCAAGGTGAGCGGAATTGACATTTGGGCCTCTAAGGGGTCCTAGATCTACCACAGTAGCAACTGGAACTTGCTGATCTCTGCGGGGCTGAACCTGCGCCAAATTCTCAGCAAGCAGAACAAAATGTAAATGCGCTGCGAATCAGGCCTCCCCATCCCTTAAAAAAAAAAACCCTCAAACACTGAGAAAGGGCTGAGACTCACTGCATGACAGCACTTCCTTTTTTTTCTTTAAACCCGTTTCCTGCCTCCCGTTCGGTATCTTCATCTATACAGGAAGAGGAAGGCCTTCAGTCTTTCTTTTTACACAACCGGCGACTCTGGGGAATGGAGCCCTCCTCCAGCAAACCAAACCAGCTTTTTACCCCTCCAGCCCTTTGGCCAAATTGCCCATCCTAGAGCAGGGAGCCGGCCTCCGCCGGGCAGCAGGTGGGATCCCCTGCCAGCGCCGGCATCGCCCGCCGCCCTGACCCGGAGCTGCGGGGGTGGCAGGCTCAGGGATATTAGGGCCGGGCCCGGCCAGCTCGCTCCCCAGATCCGCGGAGGTCGGAAGCGCTGCTCCGCACCCCCTGGCCCCGACGGCCCGAGCGCCCAGAGGTGCAGGCCCGGGAGCCAAAGGCCCGAGCGACCCCGAACGGTCGCCCCCGCGCCTGTGGCTGCCGCGGCCTCCCTGCCGGGCGCTTACCCCGGTGCCGTTGTCGCACACCACCACCTTCCTGCCCTGACTGTCCATCGTCCTCCCGGAAGAGAGACGCCGCCGCCACCACCGCCAGAAGACCTACAGCAGCCGCCGCCCGGCCCCTTCCTCTTCCTTTTCGCGGACCTTCCTCCGGCCTAACTTTCTTCCTCCAAACGGAAGTCACCGCCAGGTCCCGCCCGCCAATTAACTGACGGCCTGAGCGGAAGGGGTGGGGACTGGCAGCAGTGAGTTCCACTAAGAAATGGGGAAGAGTCTAGGCCACGCCCACTACTCCGATTCCCGTTCCAGCTCCGCCCTGCCGGTCACCGCCTAATCGGATTCTCCACTCAGCGTCTGGTTTTCCGCACTTTGCGGGGCGCTAGTGGCGGCGGAGCTTGCGGGTCCTGCGGCCTTCTCTCTAACGAGTCGGAGAAGTTGAGGGCGCCGCTTACCTGGCTGCAGAAGGTCAGGCCGGTGAAGACACCGGGCCCGTCGCGAGAAGGCAGTGGAATGCGGCAGAGAATCCAGCCGGGAAGCGTGGGAGGGGCAGAGGAGCAAACCTGAACACTTGCTGATCCCACCATTGACCATGGCTTGGTGTGTCATTACTTATAGACCTTTTCAGTGGACAGAGCTGGGATGGATACACACACATGAAATCATGCATTTATACGGGATACCTCCCAATGCCAACCCAATCCTTTGCCCAAGTTGCTCTTAGTGAGCGAAAGGGAGTACCTACATTTCCCGGCTCATCGCTCGCCACTTCCCCTCCAGCAGCACTCACTGTGTTGCTTCAGACCGCTCAAGTACACGCACCTATTTGAACTTAAAACCTTGGCTTTGAAATCAGACAACCACAGTTTCAAATACGGTCCTGCCACTCAAAAACTCTGATTTGAGCATACCTGTGCTGATGCATAGAGGGTAATAACCTCTACTTCCATAGGTTGTTGTGAGGTTAAAATTCTGTACCCAGAGTAAATGCCCCTTCCATGGAAACTACTGATTATTAATTCCGTGCTTCTAAACTTGCAGATCTCTCTGCGTATAATGCTACCTATTTTTCTTTTTAATCAATCAGGAGATTTCTCATGCTGTAAGACCCAGTTGTCACTCTATGGAGAGTGTGCTGGTAATCCATCGTCAAGATGATCTTTACTCTCATTGTTACTATACTACCATGGATATTTGAATAACATTGTGCTTATTACACTAAACAAATGTTAATTGGATAAATGACATCAAAATTCAACTAGGAAAGAGTGTCACTTTTGAGAGGTGAGAACTAAAATTGTGCCTTCCACGTGGCTGTACAGTTATAGTGACTGGAATAAAATTTAGATCATGAACCCTCCAGACCAGCATTATAAATACTAGGCTGCTTTGAAGTTCTCACTTTATTCTTTCATTAGACCAGTGGTTTTCAAAGTTTTATAAAAGGCATTGAAGCTTTATTCAAATTTTTTCTAGAACCCCAACATATAAAATAGATCAAAATAAAGCTGCCATAGTTGTTTGGAAGTTTGGGATGTTAGAATGGGTAGGAAGCCTCAGGGAAATATGCCTTCCCTGCACCTGCTTCAGTAGTCATTGAGGTACCTTAGCCTGCTGAAAAGTGCATTAGTTCATAAATTACACATTTTACTTTGTGTCCCCAGTGCCTAGCACTGTGCTGTTTTCCTGGAACTATAATTGGTCTCAGCAAATTGAACTCTAGCATTTCTGTGTCCTTTCACTTTTCTCTTTATGAGATTTAATGGGTAATTTATGCATTTTCAGAAATATTTGTTTTCTTCTAATTGTAAAGATAGTACATGCAGATGATAGAAAATATCAACATCTATTCACTACACTAATGAAAATGAAGCAGAATTTCTTCATTATGTGAATTCAGATATAATGGAATTGGTGACTGGCTCCTGCCTTCTACACCAGGTGCATCCTGGTCATTTCACTTTCCTCAAAATAATATGACCTCACATTTTTCGGCAGTTGAATTTTTGGGATGGGGGTAGAGGGATTCATGTCTAGCCATTTGTTGAGATTTTACATATATTATTCCACACAAAAATCTTGCTGGTAGATATTCTCATTTTATACCTTAGAAAGTGGGGGCTTTAAAAAATTAAGTCTAGCAAGGTCATAGGATATAAGCTGTACATACAGAAATCAATATATATATATATGTGTGTATGTGTGTATGCCATCAGTGAATAACGTGAAAATGATATATTAGAAAACAATTCCATTTACAAGAGTATCAGAAAATTTGAGTAACTTTACTGGAAGTAATACAAGACGTATACACTGAAAACTACAAACATTGCTGAGAGATATCAAAGATCTAGATAAATAAATATACACCATGCTAATGGATTGAATGCTCATTAAGATGACAGTTCTCTCCAAATTGGCCTATAGATTGAATGTCTCTATCAAGATCCCACCAGGCCTTTTTTTTTTTTTAGGAATTGGTAAATTTGATCCTAAAATTTATATGGAAATTCAAAGGAATCAGAATAACCAAAACTATTTTGAAAAAGAAAAGCTAAGTTGGCAGCCTTCCACCACCTGATTTCAAAATTTATTATGGAGAAAAAGAAAAAGACAAATTACTTAATTTAAAAGTAGGCTAAAGATTTAAATAGGCATTTCACCAAAGATTTATGGATGGCTAATAAATACATGGAGATGCTTATCATCATTAATCATTAGAGAAATGCAAATTAGAACCATAATAAGATACCACTTAATACTTAATAGAATGTCTGTAATGAAAAAGAAAACATGTTGACAAGGATGTAGAGCAACTGTTACCTTCATATGTCACTGGTGGGACTGTACAATGGTACAGCCACCTTGGAAAACAGTTTGGCAGTTTTTCAAAAAGTTAAACATAAAATTGCCATACCCAGCAATTCTATCCCTAGGTATATGCCCAAGAGAAATGAAAATATATATCCATAGACTTGTACACAAATGTTCATAGTGGCATTACTCAGGCAAAAAGTGGAAACAATCCAAATTTCCATCAATTTGCATAAATTGTGTGGTAAATCCATACAATGGAATAATATTTAGCATAAAAAAGAAACAAGACAAGCTATAATACAGAAGAAATGAAAAGACATATCCCGCGCAAAGGACTACATATTATATGATTTCATTCATTTGAAATTTTTAGAAAAAGCATATTTGTAGGTACAGAAAACAGATCAGTTTTGGCTTAATGTATGCATGAAAGAACTTTATGGGGTGCCAGAAATCTAAGAGATTTTGGTGATGGTTATACAACTGTATATATATAAAACCATCACCAAATATCATCAAACAGCATGTTTGAGATAAGAAAATTATACTTTGTAAGTTCAACAAAATTGTTTACAAAATTAAGTTACCTCAGGATACAAAATTAATACACAAAATCTGTTGCATTCCTATACACTAATGATGAACTAGCAGAAAGAGAAATCAGGAAAATAATTCCATTCACAATTGCATCAAAAAGAATAAAATACCTAGGAATAAACCTAACCAAGGAAATGAAAGACCTATACTCTGGAAACTACAAGACACTCATGAAAGAAATTAAAGAAGATACCCATAAATGGTAACACATCCTGTGCTCATGGATAGGAAGAATTAATATTGTCAAAATGGCCATCCTGCCTAAAGCAATCTACAGATTCAATGCAGTCCCTATAAAAATACCAATAACATTCTTCAATGAAATAGAGCAAATAGTTCTAAAATTCATATGGAACCAAAAAAGATCCCAAATAGCCAAAGCAATCCTGAGAAGGAAGAATAAAGCAGGGGGAATTATGCTCCCTGACTTCAAGCTCTACTACAAAGCCACAGTAATCAGGACAATTTGGTACTGGCACAAGAACAGACCCATAGGCCAATAGAACAGACTAGAGAGCCAGATAAAAACCCACACATATATGGTCAATTAATATATGACAAAGGAGCCATGGATATACAGTGGTGAAATGACAGCCACTTCAACAACTGGTGTTGGCCAAAGTGAACAGATAGATGTAAGAGAATGAAACTGGATTATTGTCTAACCCCACACACAAAAGTAAACTCAAAAGGGATCAAAGACCTGAATGTAAGTCATGAAACCATAAAACTCTTAGAAAAAAACATAGGCAAAAATCTCTTAGACATAAACA